GGAATACCAAATGAATGGGGTTATTACTAAAGCCCTGGTTGAGGAGGATTCCGGATTTTACTTAGTTTTGGGTCAGTTCAATGTCCTCCAAAAACCCTTTCTAAATTGGACGTATGGCCCGACCCGGCTGACAAAAATCCGTGGAGCGGTCTTAACCTTTGACACTGTCATCCACGACCTCCTAGGGTGGATCTACCAGCCGTCGTAAAAACTTCGGATCCAACAAACACAGGTAATGCTGTGATTTGGCGGGATACGCAGGAGAACGGAAAGGGGGTAAAATAACCCCGGGAGATTAGTGGAGGATAATATATTTGGGGCCTGCCATACGTTCCCATACTCATACTTACTCATTAAAGTTCAGTTTTGTGTGCGTATTTTATAAATTACTTCAAGAAATTTTAAATATTAAAATTGGGTTTTGGGATATAGGTTGTTCACAAAATGGGTTTATTTGTTTAGTAACTACATTTCTACAAAAAATCTTGACGATATAAATCGAATATATGCGAAAAAAATCGATTAATAAGTCTAAATTGGGGTAGAAGCTAGAAAATACAAACGGCCATAAAAATATAAATCGAGCTAACTTTTACAAACCCAGCGAGGGTTTTGCTATTGGATAGGCATATTTTCAGAAAAAAATTGTTCGGTGCGGTTTGATTTTTTGTGTTGCACAGTGTAATAAAGTACGCATCGCAATGGAACGCACAGAGTCGAAAAATCCAAAATGTGTGGTCGAAACTTTTTTTAATTTTAAAATGACGTAATTTACTTTAAAAAATATAAAAGCTAAAAAAATAAAATTTTGAATCCAATTTAATCGTTTTTACACGCTCAGCTCCCTTATTTTGAGTAACTAGTAAACAAATCTATGAAATCGATTTTAACCTACTTCCACCCAACCAATTGTTCTAAAATTTTGGACACTTTTTGTTCTGGTGACAGAACAATCTAGTATACTGTTTATTATAATTTATTCAAAATGGCTGCCACTCCAAGATGGTGAAATATTTTTTTCTTTACAACCCCCTTGATATGGGTATCAAATGAAAGGGGTTTTCAAGCAGAATACGTATTCTGCGTTAAGTACGTTACGTCATTCTAATTTCAATATGGCGGATGTAACTAACAAACTAATTTACTCAACTAAAAAATAAATAATTGTTGAAAAAGTTAAAAAAGTATAAGGTATTGTAATTATATATATACTTAAAATATTTTGTGCGATTAACAAACTTGTCACTTCTTAATGTTCAATGACTATGCTAGAAAGCGTAATGTGCTTTGTCGAAATTAACTAAAAGAAACGCAACCAAAAAGCGCCCCATGCTTTTTATCATATATGATATGACTATAGTCATTGAACATGACAAGTTTATTAATAGCACAAAATATTTTAAAAATGTTTTAAAAATTTTATAATATGATGTGAAAATTTTTAGGCACTTCTTTTGCAAAAAAAATAAACTCGAAATAACGTATCTTTGACTTTTTCAAATCAGATATGACGTATATAAAGCACTTAAGACCGAATTAAGAAGAATAAAAATTAGTAAATAATTAAAATTAAGTTATAACATATAATATAAAAGGAATACAGAATCACTCTGTAATCTCTTCTTCAATATTTTCATCTGAACTGACAGATTTTTTATAAATTGTAGGTTCATCCAAAAGCTTAAGGACTCTTCATCATAGCTTTTTAATTTTTTTTTTGTAACTTTCTTAAGCTCGAAATATATGGATCTTGCACTTGTTTCGCTTTTTTCGAAAGACCTATTTTTATTATATTTTCAATTTCTAAATACAGATGTTGACATTTTTCTTTGTGGGTCACAGTAATTTATGCAAGAATATTATTTGTGCGCAAAAAGCTTAGAGTTCTAGAATTTAAAAACTGACTTTAGTAGTTAAAGGAAAAAATGACAAATTAATCTATAATTTTAATTTTTAACAAGTATTTTTTTGAAATCATGAAACATCATTTTTAGGTTAGGGTCAACTGACATATATAAAATGTCATTATTATTGTTATTGGAGGACCTCCAATGGAGGTATATAATAATTTGACTTTTGAACTGAAGTCCTTTAAAAAGCAATATTTTTTGAGTAAAACTGCAACCTTCCGCAAGATTTTTTAATTGCGACTCATAAACGACTAATGTAGGCAATAATTTATAAAAATAACTTCACTCGATCGGTTTCGATCAGCAACCAAATTCACTGAATTACGTAATAATATACAAAAATAAAGCCTTTAATGAAGTCACTTTATGGATTCAAAAAAATCAAAATTACTTAATTTTCTTATATAAATTAATATTACTTACCTCCAGGTAAGATATTCATGCCTCACACTTCAAAAAAATAAAACCAAATAACTGAATAATATTTAAAGTTCGTGATTATAGCAAAAAAAAATAAACAATACAATGTGAAATTGTTCGATTGAAATTATTGATAGCGTAATGTCATTTGGATTTCACGCATTATAATATTTATTTGACATATCTAGATGCCTTACCTACTATAGCTATAGCTATAGCTGCAATAAATTTTGGAAGAAAATTATTGATTTGGATATTTTTAGTATTGACCGCAAAAATTTGCATTTTCGCTTCTGTGGGACGGGTCGCGTCAGGAGCGTGCTCGAGCGCCAGGGCCAGAAAAGTCGCGCCGGCTCACAAAATCAAATGTCATTAATCGTTTAATTAAGAATCCCATTTTTTTTTTAGTTTTTCATTGGAAAGACTTTAAGGAAAATATAAATAAACACGATTTTCAAAAAGAGCATTGAGAAAATTATAAAAATGCAAATTGTTTATTATAAATCATTTTTTTTATGAAAATAACTTTTTTTTTAAATTTAAAGAATTTTCAAGGTAAAATTTTATTAAAAGGCTTTATTTCCATGAGAGATTTTCGAAAAAAAATCGTCAAAACGCTCTTTTTTAAATAACTTTTATAATTGTTTATATATAATTTTTTTGATTTGGGAATATTTTACTATCAATGAGTACTACAAAAACCAATAATTGTTTTTTGTATTTTCCAAAGTCGGGAAAACAGTGATCCGTTTCAAGAATTCTCAACCATCGGCATAAAAAATCATGACATGATTTTCATTACTCACGCAGTGACATCCGGATGATGTCCGTATGAATAAAATTTGTGAAAATCACGACGTGACGTTCGTATGATTTTCATTTATTACGCGGTGACTTCCGTATGATATCAGTATGAATAAAATTTGTGAAAATCACGACGTGATGTTCGTATGAATATCACGAATGTTGTCTGGGTAATTAAGCATATCTACAGTTTGCTTAACTTTAATTTATATAAAAAAAAACAAAAATATCTTAGGTCTTAAAAAACTATTAAAAATAAAAAATCTGTATTTTATATAAATATCTATACAAATTTGTAATAATGTACCTATTTATTTATTTTAATCTTTGGTTATCATTACATCACATACCAGGTTATTATGTTATGTTTAAAGTTTAAACATAACCTGACAACTGTCAAAAGTGTATACGAGGTGTGTTCAGAAAATAACGGGAATTGTTAAATTTCGCGGGTTCGGAGTGTCATGAAATTTTCTTTTTAATGTTGGTATACATGCTCCCGAAGTATGATAAAAACTTTAGCTGTTTTCATTGTTTACTTTGTCTGTGGCAGCCGCTAAGGTTAGACGTGGTTTATGAGCTCGGCCAAAAATAAAGAGAACCTTAAAGGGCCGTCGTTTTGCAAGCATAGATGACATTAAAAGCGCATCGCTGAAAGAACTAAAGGCTATCCCAAAGATCGAGTTTTAGAAGTGTTTCGAGTATTGGAAGAAGAGCTGGCACATGTGCATAATATCCAATGGGGACTATTTTGAAGGCGACAACATTAATGTAGACGAATAAATAAATATTTGTTTCAAAAAACGAAAATTCCCGATATTTTCTGAACCCAACACGTACTTTACGCGTCGCGTCTTTTCGCCTGAGATCTTAGCTCACTTCAGTTAATGTGATATGAGATGTAGTGATGTGAGTAAGCATTAAAAAGAACGACACACTCAATTGAAACGCGCAATCTGAATAAAAGGCAACATAACCTATCTCTGATATCATTATGTTCTGTGTTATATCCTTATTGGTTTAAATTCGAGTTTAAATTTCGTGGTTTTCTATGTTTAAATTTGCGTTGAATTATGGATAATACAAACAAAATAATAAAAGTTATATTTGATGAAGACGATGAAGGTGACAAACAAAAACAACAATTTTTTGATAAGAATATTAATTTTATGATATAAAATAAAATTATAAAAAAAATCTTCACTTTTACTTTCTTTGTTCATTTATATTTTAAAAAGTATTTTTCTCGTTCTGAAAAGCAATTTTATTCGAATTCTATTTTTTATATCAAGTTTATAGCTAATTTACAAAATTTAATTATTTTTATGGAAATTTAAGTTTTATTGCAAAAAATCACCTAAATAAGATTAGATTATGTTATTTAAAAACTTAGGAAATCAATAATTTCTTTCTCCCCTCCACTTTATTTCCGACTGAATTCAAACTGATTTCCCCGCACAGCATGTGCAGTATAGGTGAGAGGGGAGGAAAAATCTCAGCTGACTTCATGATGAGTGAAGCAAAAAGAACGCGCACATTTGCAAATTTTTCCGATGTGAGCTGAGATTAACTGAGATCTCAGGCGAAAAGAACGCGTTGTTTACACCAAAACATAGACAATCATTATTTACACGTAGCCATCCCTGATTTAAAGTATAGGCTTCTTTCTATGGGTTTTCATTTTCAGGATATTAGAAGATATGGAAATAAAAAATTTTAGCTATTGTTTTATTTGGTAATTTCTTTTCAATGCGTTTACTGCCATTTTTATTTAGATACTTTTTCAAGGAATCCACCAGAAATTTTTTTTAACCTTTATGGTAAACCCTGTAGGTATATGATTTAATTAAAAATATTAATACTTACAGGCCACTGCATTTCCCAATAAATAATATCACTATTTGAATTTGGTTTTTCATCAGTTTCTGCAGTTTCCAGGATTACAGCAGTTGTATCCCATTTTTTTCTATAACTATTATCTACTTGAACATTTAAAAAATCTTCTGCTGAAACATCTGCATATGAACCAAAAACTTTGTATACATAACTCCCAGACTCATGCATTTTTCTCCAAACTACTAGATCCTGTTTTTCCAAAAACGGAAACCAATTTTCAAAGGATTTACTAGTGTCAACTTGCCCAGGTTTATTACAATTACAAATTGCTGAATTTGGTTTTTCTTTAGATGATGGATCGCATGCAGAGCATATAGTCTTTTCTTTTAATTTATTGATATAATCCAAATCATTTAAGTATTTTTTTAACTCAGCCTCAGGTAATCGATTGTCTTCCCAATTATAAGTTGATATACCTATTGCACCCAGCATAAGTTCTTTGTTTTTTTTATAAAATGTTAATTTCATATTTCTTAAAAGATCCTTTAAAGCCCCTTCTCCCCACATTCGGGAATAAAGTGAAATCATTTGTTGGCTTCTTCTAAGCCTTTGAACAACCACACATTCACATTGATGAGCCCATACTCTTAGTAAATTAGCCGATTGATCTTTAAAACTGTTAGGCAATGCATATTTCACAAAGATATTAAAATGTAGTTTTCTTATAAGGTGTTGTATTGTTGTGGACATATTTTTTGACTTTCTTATATTAAGTATGGATTTTTGAATCACATATTCATACAATTTGTTTGGTTTTCGTAAAAGGATATTTCTTAGGTTAGTTTGGGGTATTATAAAACTTCTTGATATTCTTTGTGGATACATTATTAATATTAAATACAATTATGCCAGTATTATAAATATTTTACCATATTGTTTACTTAAAATTACTTATATTTTTTATGAAGAATGATAAATATGACAAACTAAAATTTTGACGGAAATGACCTCATCAGTGTTGCCGTCTATTTTCAATGAACATTTTTCATACATTTCGGTTTTTTTAATTTAACGTCTTAAATTTAGGGGTTTATGCGCTTATTCCCTTTTTTGAGGTTCATAAACATCGCTTTTTAAACATGTAGGTATGTTTCACAGAACAAAAGTTGTATGCAGTGTTGCCAGAAATGCAGAATTTTCTTCAATATGCAGAATTTTAGCCTATATGGAGAGCTAATGAAGAAAAGAAGAATATTTTACAAAAACCACTACAATATGAAGAATTTTTTAAATTCACATGTTTTTTTTTTGTTTTTTTTTCATTTTTAAATTTTTTTCAATTTTCTTAATTATTTAATTATTTAACTCAATTTTAACACTGTAATATGATTTAAAATTTAAATTTTAAATGTAATTATTTTATTTATTTCGTATGAATTCTGACATTTCTCGGTAAAATGGTATAAGACTCGAATTGCATCACTGGTGCTACACTGGGGAAGCCCCGAATTTTAATAGATATGATTGGTATAAAATAGGTATATTTATTTTATTAATAATTTATAAATCATAACTCCATAAAATATAATATACTTACTATATTATAAATTATAATATACCTAGTAGGTATATTATATTTTAAGGATTTGCATGCATGCACATGTGTATTTTGTATTAGAGATTTATTTAAAAATGCGTTCAAGTGAAGAAGATTCTCAAGGGTAAATATTACAATTTTAAATATGTTTGCGTATTTATTAATTAAATAAGTGCCTTTGCCACAGCAAATAATAATTAAGTATTTTGTATCTTATTTTAAGATTTTCCAAAATCCTCGAACAGGGTGGCTCTGTGAAGTGCCAAGTGAAGACACAAAATTTGAATGTCGATGGTGTAATGCAATACTTTATAAGGGTGTTTTCAATAATGAATGATGTGAAAACAAAAAAACGAAACAGACTTCAAGAAAATACTTTGTATTCATCGATTAATTTCCTTTGCGTATTGCGTACCCATTTTAAAGATACAGGTACAAATTCTGCACCAAAAAACATTTAGATTTAATGAAATTAAATAATTCTGTCACTAAAAAACATTTAGATTTAATGAAATTAAATAATTTATTTAATTCCTAAATCATGGTGTAGTTTTTTGTTCTGCCTATAAAATTAATTCATTTTCTTTAATTTGTAATACTTTATCTCCTGTTTACCATAAAAGATATTTGACTTTTAAAAATATTTTTTTTTATTATTATTAAGTACCCAATCCAGTCAGAAGGTTTTTAATCTAATGACGTTTTTCATCTCTGCAGAAATATGAAGAATTTTTAAAATTAAACTGAAGAAATTTGGAATAAAGAATCTGGCAACACTGGTTGTATGTTTCCTAACGACAACCTAAAGCTGGATTTATAGTTTTAAAGGTAACGGTAGAGGCAGCGGTAGAGGTAGCGGTAGCGTTATCACTTTCTGCAGTTTATAGTTCAGTATGCGATTGTAAAAGCTCATTCACATCCACTTAAAACGCGTAACTTAACTTAACGTACGTGAGAGACGTAAGTTGAAATACATTGAAACCAATGCAGCTGTTTACATTCGTAGAAAACTTATCACACGTAATTTAACGTATCCAAAAGTTGGGTCCGGCTCAACTTAAGGGAATACGTTTCTTACGTGAGCCAATCACATGCCCAGTAAAACGATATAGCGCTATCTTGTTGTTTCACTTTTATAGATAGATAGGCAACCCAATCTACATCGATGTCTACATTGCTGAGCAATGATTGCTCGTGCTTGTATATTACGTTTTTTGTGTGTATTAATTAATACACACAAAAAACGTAACTTAAGTTAATGTAAACAGACAACTTAACAGACGTATGTTTCTTAAGTTAAGTTAAGCATATTAAGTGGATGTGAATGAGCTTTAATTTTGTTTGTAAGATATGACAGCAAAAGGTTAAGTTTTCTACGAAAACATGGATTGCGAGTAGTCATGGGTAACACACCACATTTTTGCTGTGTCAACACTTTAACACCCGCACAGCTCACTATGTTAACACATTGTGACGACACAGTTGTGTCATTTAACACATTAAAATGGCTGCCCCAAAAAACACTGCATTTTTGTTGCCGCCCCACACACAAAGTGCACATGAAAAATACAAGTGACTACACACATACAATGTTTAAGGTAGTTGTGGTACAATATTGTCAAAATTTTTTAGATTAAGTAACTATACGCAGGGCTGGATGCTCCCGTGTACGAGTTTTGGTTCGTCCCGCGCATGACGTCACTTGATGAGTAGTTGCCGTGCGAATACACGAATAATAGTAATATTATCAAATCTTAAGATAATAGAGAAATATCTGGACATAGTGCGTTTTTATTAAACTTAATATTGAAGAAAGTTTTATAATATGGATAATAAATGCTTTCAGTCCTTGATAACATTTAGGGCTGTAGTTTAAGCGTTGGTGTTTTAAATTAAACTTATACCCAGACTGCAATGAAGGTTCGAAAATATTCCAGGAATATTCCCTATCGCCTAGGAATAATCCGCTTCATTCTAGGAATATTCATTGGGAATATTCCTAGAATGATCCTCTAAAACTTCCAAGCATCATCTAAGAATATTCCCAGTGAATATTCATTAGTTTAGTTGAAATACCTCTCACCGTTGCTTACGCACGCTTGATAACTATATATACAGATAGGTTAATAATATTAGTTGGAGATGTGCGTCTGTGATGGCACAGCCAAACAATGATTAGAGTGGGACTGATCTACTCAGTAACTCAATAATGGCTATACTTAAGTTAAGTTCCTGGGTATAAGAGGCAATAAGGGCTGGGAATAATCCCCAAATTATATCAAGGAATATTCCCCTAACAATCCTTGAGTCTTTTGCAGGCAGATATATGGAATATTCTTTTTATGATGCCTGGGTTATTCAAAAAGCGGACATTTGATTATGCCAGGAATATTCCTGGGAATATTCTGGGACGATTGGAATATTCCTGGGAATATTCCTGACATGTGCAGGGAATGTGATTTTGCGGTCTGGGTAGTCACTGTCCAGAAAATGTTTATAGGAAACAGAAGCGGTCTTAACGTAAATATTGTCTATTATTTTTGTGGCATTTAAACACTGTTTCCACAAATCAAACTTTTTCGGGAATCGATTAAATTTAATGTTTTTATTTAAGTAAAGGGTCTTTCTTGGACTGGTTGTCCGAATTGCATCCAAATATGCCACACCGCATTTTAATAAATGCAAATGGCACTATACAATCTAAAACACAAACAAAACAAGTTAACGCAACACAAAAACAATAATAAACAAACCTAATATGTTAACCTAACGCAAATTATTGTTATTAATAACAATAATTTGAACGCTGAAAAGTAATTCGAACCTTACCGAACACAAAAACGACAAGTTAAACAAAAAGTAGAGCAAGTTAACATGCAAAAGCATCGCAAAAACAAGAATTTTAGCAGCACGTTAAAGATTTAAAAACACTCATCAAGTGACGTCATTAAGCCCCGCCCAACATGCGCACCATCCTATCTAAAGGTGTATGTATCTTGAACTATACGCCAGCGTTGCCAACCTTTTCGTTCGAAAAATCCTGAGTTCTCTAGTCAAATATCCGTGGGTGAAGGGTAAAATCCGGACATTTATCCGTACCAGGGATCAGAGGTGGCAGGCACCGCGGCGACTTAGAAACTTGGATAGATTTACGAATTTTCACAAAAAATTTTGATTGGTACTCAATATTTATGAGCTGTTCAGTTATTTAGCATTGACATTTCGTCAAGGTTGTATGTTAAAAAACCAAAAAATTTGAGTTTATGCTTTTACAAGGTTTTATTTAATCCACCCTTGACATACAACTTGAAAATAACTCTATATATACATATGTATACATAGAATATACATTCTGTAGAATTATTTTTAAGTGCTCATTCATAATGGACGTAACCATAAGATGCCCGTAAACGTAAACGTAAACGTAAACATAATATCACCATAATTTGTACGTAACGATGAGTTGTGTTTATAATGAACGTATGCCTTATGTATATATTAATAAGGCGCGCATGTCCAAGTTCACTAAAATGGCAGCATTGACAGATTTCGTCTAATTATTATGTCTTAAAACTTAAAAGTTTTAAGACAAAATAATTATAATAATAAATATAAATTAAGTTAAAACTATCAGTGTTATCATATATAACCTTAGTGTAATGAGCGATATATACGTGGGCAAAGAGAAAAAAAAGGCCGAATTTCGTCGAATAATACTCGAACTAAAACTTTAGGATAAGAAATGGTTCTTTAGATTGTTTGTTCTGTGGATACACCAGAATACACTTGAAAAAGATCTGTCATCTGTTTGCATGGGTACTACCCTGATTGCTACCAACAATGTTCTAGTGAAATCATGAAAATTACTAAAATTCACACATAAGAAACACGTAAAGTTGAGATGATTTCAACTTTACGTATTTTTTACGGTCACCCATAAGATCTTATGTTCGAACGTAAAACGTAAAAGTTACGGCTATTCATTATAAACAGGCACACTGGTTTTGTTAATATTCAACTTTACGTTTTACGTATTTCTTACGGGCATCTTATGGTTACGTCCATTATGAATGAGCACTAAGTGGTATGTGAAGCGTAGGCCACGTACAGTAGAAACCGTCAATATATGAACGTGACTCATCCGACACATTCGTACGAAGCAATCTATCGAAGGTCACGGTCCAGTGCAGTCTCGTTTGTAAAAAAAATTGAGTGTAATGTTGGTTGCTATACTTATGATATATTTGCTTTTAAAGTTAAATAATTAACATCTAACATAATTAACATCTACGATAATTAAATAAAATGTAATTTTCTTAGA